GTGACCCATACTTATGTCGCAGCTTACACATCAGTAAAAGATCTGATCTAGAGGGAATGCAGCAGGCACCTCTGCCTGCTTTTCCTGGCAGAGAGACTTGTGGAGAAACATCCTGGAATTTCAGGTGCACAGGAAAATGATCAGCATCAGATCTCTCTACGTGGCAAAATGAAGTAGTACCAAATACAACTCCCACACTGAACCCCTACTCTCAGAAGAACTGAAGAGTTCACCAGCAAAAAGGTAACAGAGTGATGGTACAATAAATACTCTTCTCATCACCTTTATTGTTTACCCTGTAGCAAACCAGCTGGTACTGTTTTGGTACAGACTCCACCAGAATCCATGTAGGAAGCACCAACACATTGGAAGAACAAAAATGGAAAACAAAAGCATAGGGTACTTATCTTAAAATAAGTTAAAAAATTTAAAGTTTTTAAAAGCACCAACTTAAAGAAAATTAAGTTGGTGCTAAATATTAGCTAGATGCTTAATTTGTGTCTCTGCTGACACAGTCCTGGCATCACAGAATCTCATGTTTCCTATTTCACTGGAAACTGGTTCCCCTGGGCTAATTGCATAAAACATTATCCAAAAGATATCACATGCCATGCATCCCCCATGTGTGACAGGGTTCTAACTAGGGAAGTTTTGAAGACTGCCGTGAAAAGTACAGGGATGTAATGTGCATGTGAAACTATCTTCAGTCTTTGTGAGAAATAAGCAAAGCTGCCAAGTGGATTTGGTCCCCTCAGGCCTATGTCCAGAAAAGAAATGAAGTTACCAGAAATTCAGTCTGCTTTTATGGCAGGAAAACAGCAGGCTATTGACCATATGGCATTAAATGAAGTAACAGGGGTAAAAAACACTGTCTTCACATTCTTTCAGAGTTCTGAAAATATGGGGGGAAAAAAAAATGGTCACTGCAGATTTTCCCCTTCTCCCCACAGTCATCACCCTCTAAAAGGTCTCAGCTGCTATGTTATTTTGTATCCTTATGCTCAATTGCACAGGTGTTACACAGCAGAATTGTGGTGGGTTGACTCTGGCTGAACACCAGGTGCTGACCAAGCCACTCTGTAACTCCCCTCCTCAGCAGGACAGTGTGGGAGAAAATAAGATGGACAAAATCCTCATGGATCAAGATAAAGACAGTTTGATAAAAAGAAAAGGCTGCACATGGAAGCAAATGAAAACACAAGGTTTATCCTTACTCCCCATCAGCAGATGATGTCCAGCAATTTCCCGGGAAGCAGGGCTTCAGAGTGTGTATCAGCTGCTTTGGAATACAAACACAGTAACAACAAATGCCTGGCTCTCTCCTCCCCACACCCTTCCCTCTCCAGCCTTAAGTGTTGTATCTGAGCAGATAGCTTACATTATAGAATATCCTCTGGTCAGTGGGTCAGCTGTTCTAGCTGTGTCCCCTCCCAAGATCTTGGCCACCCTGGCCTCCTGGCCAGGGGGAATGTTGGGGACACAGCCTTGATGCTGTGGAGGGCTACACAGGAGTGTTATTGACACCCTTCTAGCTACCAATGTCATTGCTGTCAATACCATTGTCAATTCTGTGCTTTGTCACAGATGCTATGGGAAAATTACCCCACCTCAGCCAGAGTCAACAGAAGAGTTTCATTCAGCAAGCTAGTGAGTCCTTTTTTTCAGTCTTTTCAGCAATTACTTGTTTCTCAATCTCTACAATTAATGCCTAAGTACTTTCATTGCAACCTTTTGTTTTGTTCTCAGAGTCTTTCCTGTATGTCAACACCAATTTGAGTAACTTTCCTTCACAGGTCCCAGCTTTGTGCAGGATAGAATCAGGATACTGATTTAGTTCTTCCAACTAAATCAGAGGGAATCTGTAAGAACAGCTACCTTGTTAAAAGTCTGGATTCACCTGAAGTTGAGGTGGTCCTCCTCAGGTAAAACTCAATGTAGTTTGGGTACGGTTGAAGTACATCCAGTTTAAATTCATGGTTACTTAAACACAGGTTTAAAAAAAGCGATCTGATCATAGTAGATGTATACAAATCAAATCGCCATGAATAGAGTAAATTAATTAATATTGAAAAGAAAGAGCTATTCAGAAAATAAAAGGAAAAAAAAAATCACAGAAAGACAGCTTCCAAAAGCAACTTGTATAAATAACTGTGAAATCTCTAGTTACGCAATTCAATGAAATGTAATAAGGAACTAAGATTTATTTTTTTTAGCTGCATCTTAATTAGTAATTGTTAGCTATGACATTCAGTGCACGTAGAGCATTTTTCATCTGCTACTAATTAGAAAGGAAAAATCTGAAGAATTACTTAGAAAATCATAGCCTAAGTATTAGCATACAAACAATGAGAGTAAGAATTGAATATGTTTATGAAAGACAGGGAATTTGTTTGTCTAATAGAAGCAGTTGATAGCATTGTGCAGTTTGCTAAAAGGCAATAGACAAGCTGCTGTTCCAAATTTAGAGGCAGTCAGAAAAAGGACAAGTTCCACTGAGTGTAGAAGAGTACATCACATATTCTCAGACCCCCTGGAAAACATGAAACAAGGGGGAGGCTATTACCTGAATTTTAAGAGTTTTTCTGTTGTGATAGGAAAAAAAAAAAAAAATCAAGTTGTGGAAACCAACAGAGTTGTTTTTTTCTGGGGCAGGGGTGATTTCAGGCCTGTAGGTACCCGGGTGCATAGGAATACCAAAGAAATGTGTTAACTAGTCTGCTGTATGTAAAAGTAGTTTACCACTGAGGTGTTACATGTCATCCACAGAGGTAGGAAAAAATCCAGAATTGAAATCTAGAGGCAAAACTTAGACTGTTACACAGAATCTGAAAATCACTTCCACTGCAAGTATACTCCGAAACAATGAGAGCAGCAGAGGGTCAGAGCATGACTCAAGAAATGGTGCAAAACACTATTCTTTAGGACCTGGTAAAATTTCTGAGATAAAGACTTTATCAGAAGAACACGCATGAATTAAAGTTGTTTATATTAGAAAGTTAAATTCAAATGGAAGACCAGTTTTGAAACAAAAGCCATTTTCACTGGTCGCCTGCTAAGCCCCAGAGACCTCAGAAAGAGGAATTTTCCCTCACAAGCTTGCAAACACACCTTTCATGCCCTTGGCAAAGTATTTCTCAATCCTTCTAAACCTTGCTAGACAGGCTCACAGAATGACAGAATATACTGAACTGGAAGGGGCCTGCAAGGATGGGCCTTAAATGAATGACCTATATGGGGAATAAACCCACATTAAATCCTTAGCATTATTAGCATCATGCTCTAACAAACTGAGCTGAACTCAGTCTTGCCAAAAAAATTCGGCATTATGATCATATATGACCCCAGATTTCTTTTTCTTTTTTTTTTTTTTATTTTTTAAATACACACTCCCCTTTATTAGCTTCCCTTGTTTTACCTTTCTGTCATGTTTTTCCTTAGACAATTATGTGCCTGCCCGGTAAACAAATTTATCCTGGTCTTCTGTTTTGGTAAGGCCTCAGTTAAGCCTACAGTACGTGTATACACATATATTCAGAATCATGCTGCTTGCTCACCCCCCTACTCCAGTTTCCCCACTCCATTCTGAAGCAGCACCCTTTCAGACTATTAGCCCTTTCCACACATCAAGATCTATCACCCCACACCTGTTTAATTATAGCTTAGCTAAGGCTATGGAATTACTTGACTGCTTTTAAAGCAGAATTACAGACTTGTTAAGGTTGGAAGGGCGATGACCTGGCTCAACCCCCCTGCTGAGGCAAGGGTCACCTGGAGCAGGTGACACAGGAATGTGTCCAGGTGTGTTTGGAATACCTGGAGAAAGGGAGACTCCGTGACCTCCCTGGGCAGCCAGTGCTCTGCCACTCTCAAGGTAAAGAAGTTCATATCTAGATGGATCTTCTTGTTTTAGTTGATGGCCATTACTCCTCATCCTGTTTCCAGACACCACCAAAAAGGGTCTGGCACCATTCTCTGACACCTGCCTTTGAGATATTTATATGAACTGATGAGCCCCCCTCCCAGTCTTCTCTTTCCTAGACTAAACACGCCCAGCTCCTGCAGTCTCTCCTCATAAGTGAAATGCTCCAGACCTCTCATCAACTTTGTGGCTTCCACTGGACCCTCTCCAGTAGCTCCCTGCCTTTCTTGTAGTGAGGAGCCCAGAAGTGCCCACAGCACTCCAGATGCACCCTCATCAGGGCTGAGTAGAGGCGCAGGGTCACCCCCCTGGACCTGCTGCCCACACTGCTCCCGAGGCACCCCCAGGACACCACTGGCATTCCTGGCCACGAGGGCACTGCCGGCCTATGGTCAGCCTGTGATTCACCAAGACGCTGATGCTTCACCTCATTAATTTTTTTCCAATAACTACGGCTATAAAATAAGCACGGCTTCTTTTGCAGCTGCATCACGTAAACATTTAGGTTACAGGGGAACCTTTTTTCCACTCAGATGTCACGTAAACATTTAGGTTACAGGGGAACCTTTTTCCACTCAGATGTCAATGTGCTCCGCAGCAGGGGGCCTCCGAGAGAAGCGCTCGTGCACAGCCAGGCTGGAGCGCCCCGAACAGCCCAGGGCCCCTCGGCTGGGGCCGGCCGAGCTCCGCCGATCTCCGGCCCTGTCCCGGCCACACACGCCCGGAACTGACACGGGAAGGAGCGCTCATTTCCCGTCCTCGCCTGGCGCTTCCGGGTCGCGCGCCGGGTTCCGCTGGAGGCGGCGGCGCGGGAGCTGCGGGGCGGGCGGCGGTTCCCGTCCTCCTCCTCCTCCTCCTCCTCTTCATCTTCCTCCTCGTGCTGGTGCTGCTCGTGGCCGCCGCGGGCTGTCCCGGGTGAGCGGGGCCGGGCAGGGCGCCGGCCGTGTGGGTGCCCGCGGGAAGGGAAGGGGAGGCCGTGGGGGCCCGGGGCTGCAGTGCCGGCGGCGCTCTGGCTGCGAGGTCTCTTCCTCTGACAGTGTAGATTTATCATCCTTCCCCCCGCTCCATCACTAAACAAAGCCAAAAAAAGTGCCTTTAACCGAAAACTCGTGGGTCTGTGGGTCCCTGCTCTTGGAGAGCATCCCCGTGTCCCCAGCGTAGAAGTGGTGGGATTTTACGAGGCCGCCCTAAAGCCGCGTACTCTGTTCCTGCTGGCATGCTTCTCCTCCTCGGGGATGTGTGTTAACTCTTTAGGGTACGCGTGGAGTAGCGTTTCCTCGGCAAAGGTGAGTTTGACTTGTCACGGCTCAGCTGTCCAGGGAGGTGGAGCGGTGCAGGCAGCACACGGTGATGGTCACTTTCTTCCTCCTTTAGTGGGACAAACGTGGTACCCTGTTAAGTCCTTTAATTCATATTTGCTTTGAAACCAGCCGCTCATTTTGGGTCAGCTAAAAGTCGTGTGGTAGGTTGTGGTTGTGTTCTGCCTAATGCCGAGCACACCAGACCTGGGAAAAAAAAGAGTAACGCGTCCCAAAGTGGTGAAAGAGCCTCAGTCTTTCTGGAGTAACTACCGGCCTCTGTTAAACAGAAATTCATGGAGAAAGTATTTTCACTTAAATGCAAGAGATGCTTGTATACTTCTAGCAACCAAGCTTATTTTCTGAATATTCATCTTAAAGGTTGATACAACTGCACTCAAAGCCTTTTAAATTTCTGTTTAAATTTATGTGGCTAAGAAAAAGCATGACATTGTATTTCTTCCTGCAAATTGTAAACATTTCATATGCTTTTTTTTTTTAATGCTTTTTTTTTTTCAGATTAATAAAATTACTGGGCATTGTTAAGGAGCTAGAATGGGAGTGAAAGGAGCTTTAATTATTTAGTCCCAATTAGGTATTTTGAATATAGAAACATGGGATTACTTTGGGTCTTGTTTTTGAAGTTGTAGGAATTCCGCTGGTCATAAGAAGCAGGAATTAATCTTGTTATTTGAGTATTTCCTCTTTTCTGATGGTAACACTTGATGAAAATATTGAAGTTCAAAATGGCTTGTTTTAGCTTTTAACTAATTGCTTTAAATTAGTCTGTGGATTTTAATAAATATTTTGACTGTAATCTATCATTTGGATTATGTAGCTTTTTTCTTGATTGTCCAGCTTGAACTGGGACTACCAGAGTGTGGTATGCTAATGCAAGTCATTGGTATGAAAGGTGATTTTCTTATCTCCTCTGTAATCTAAGAGTTTTACAACTACTTGTGTGGTGCTTATTTTTGAAACTTCACCATTTTCTCCAGGTTTAAGTTTGTTTTATCATACAAGTTCCTCCCTGCCATAATGAGGCTAGTAATTCTTGAAGATTATGATCAGGCTAGTGAATGGGCAGCCAAATACATCTGTAATCGTATTATCCAGTTCAAGCCAAGTCAAGGAAGATATTTCACGCTTGGTCTACCAACAGGCAAGTTTTATTCAAAGTCTTTGTAAATAACTAAGCCTAGAACAATGTATCACTGCTAGCACATACTGTATTTAAAAGAACGTAAGTATTATTTTTGGTAATATTCTAACTTTTTTTTAAAAATAGGATTTGATTTCTGTGAAAAGTTGTGATAGTTTGGGAAACTGATAAATACTAAATGAGAAACAGTAGATTGCTTGTATGTTGAAATGTATAGTAGCAAAATTTGACTGTGAAGACATTTAATACACTGAAAATGTTGTGCAGATACACAGAACAGTAGAAAAACTTTATTTAACAGGGAGTACACCTTTGGGATGCTACAAAAAGCTGATAGAATATCACAAAAATGGAGATCTCTCTTTCAAATATGTAAAGACTTTCAACATGGATGAGTATGTAGGTAAGATGTGCTATTATTTGAGAACGTACTGTACTGTTATTTTTTTTTCTCCTTATAAAAACTTAAATATTTTGTCAAAGTACCAGGTTAGTCTAGTATGTTTGTATTCCTATATTAGACTGGTGTCCAAGCATTTTTCTCTATTCCTTTATCTACAAAAATGCAAAAATAATCACTGGGCTAAGTTCAGTGTTTCACAGTATTTCTGTAGAAATTACATTCCCATGTAATACTGGGACTGCATTTCTGTTGAAGAATTTACACTCTGGGATAAGATGTATGTGGAGGTAATGTAAACCAGTTACCTTGTACATGCCAACAGGAAACCTTTCTTCTTGATGTAGTTTGAAATCTTGCTTTATTTGACTCAGGTTTGCTTTGCATGCCTTACACTAGTTACATACAGACTAGAATTAAGGCTGGTTGTTTATGTCTTGTCATATGGTAATTTCAGGGCTTCCCAGAAATCATCCAGAGAGCTATCACTCCTATATGTGGAATAACTTCTTTAAGCATATTGACATAGATCCGAATAATGCTCACATCCTTGATGGAAATGCACCAGACTTACAGGCGGAATGTGATGCATTTGAAAAGAAAATTGAAGAAGCAGGGGGGATTGATCTGTTTGTTGGAGGTATGAGGAAATGCTCTATGATTTTTTACAATTCAAGCATGTACATCAATTCTTTAATCATTATTTCCACAACTTAACTAAACCCCAGATTTTTCAATTATTGTGTAAGACAGTTCTGTGATTAACAAAGAATCAATATAAATTCCAGAACAGAAAGGTTGGTGTCCAAGTTACTAATGACTTAAGCAAGTTTTTCTTGAAAATGGGGAACCAAAGGGAAAGGATGAGCCCTTTTTTATTAATTTACCATGTTTTAGGCTATGTGTTCACCCTCAGGTCTGGAATGATTTATTTTTTTTAACTTTGAAAAGGCATTGGTCCAGATGGCCACATTGCATTCAATGAACCCGGATCAAGTTTGTCTTCAAGGACAAGATTAAAGACTTTAGCGATGGACACCATTTTGGCAAATGCTAAATACTTTGATGGAGACTTATCTAAAGTACCAACTATGGCGCTAACAGTTGGTGTGGGTACAGTGATGGATGCTAGAGAAGTAAGAACTCATTTAGTTCTAGTTGCATGTGTGTTTTCAAGATTAGTTGGTATTGATACTGGGATTGGAAGTAAAGAGACCTTTGTTTTGCAGGTGATGATTCTTATAACGGGTGCACACAAGGCTTTTGCATTGTACAAAGCAATTGAAGAAGGTGTCAATCATATGTGGACAGTTTCTGCTTTCCAGCAACACCCTCGCACTATCTTTGTGTGTGATGAAGATGCTACTTTAGAACTAAGAGTTAAAACTGTGAAGTACTTTAAAGGTGAGCACTGAATCAGAGGTCACATGTGTTTACTCATAACCGACAGCTTTGAAATTATATTGATTTAAATTTGAGCCTTCCAACACTTGGCAGTCGCTATGTATAAAGTTATATAGTCAAAATATTAAATATTAACTTATTTCTTGTGTTTGGAAAATTGTCAGGAGGCATAACTTGTGCTACCTACATTCCAGACAAATCTAATTGGGAAGAGTATTTCCTTTGCTTCCAGTTTGAAACAATAGTTTAGTTATCTTTAACTTCAAACAGCAGCAATCTGGTGTTCCAGAATACAGGTCTTAAGTATATTGGAAAGTTTAGCTTAAAAAAAATCTTAATACATTTATTAATCCTGATACATTTCCATGCTGCTTTTGCTATGTGCTGTATTGTGATGTCTAGTAAACTGTGATACAGACTTTGAAGCCACCTGAGGACATTTTTCATATGCAATTAGCATAACAGTCTATACTGCCTTTTAAAACACTGCACCCTTTTAATGTGTGTGTTTTTCATATTTGTAGTAGGTATAATGGGCCAGACTTAAAGTAAATCAGGATATATGACAGTAATTGAGACTTCTTGGACTGAATTCTGTTTCACTCAGACAGTAGAAGCTGAGAAAAGTAGTTTTCTCCTGACTCTATTAGCACAGCACATGCAATTGCGTGACTCAGCTGTCTTTCTTACTAGCACAGGTACCTGTAGTAGTTGAGGTATTAAGACTAATTTATTAAATTATTTCTTAGAGCACTGTATAGGCAGTGCTCGTATATGTATTAGATTGCAATTCGGACATTTCTGTGATTTTTATCCTGGTACCTCTTTGTGGCCAGCTTGTTAATTTTGGATTTTTCAGTATGCTGTTCTCTGCTATGTATTTGTGGGCTAGGAGGGAAGGTTAGTCTCTTCCTGTATCATACTGCTAGATAGTACTTACCATTGTTTTCAAAGATAAAACTTCTTTAACTGCTTGGATAAGTTTTAAATGTTATCCTGTATTTTATGTAAGAGGCTTTGCTTGAGAAATACAAATCTATTGTAGAATCACTAGGTATAAATGACACTGAACATTGCTTTAAAAAACATCAAGGGCTACAATTTATGAATGTGTGCTATCATGTCACTGTATCTAATTACCCTGTAATACACAGCAATAGAACTTTTAAAAAGATGGTACTTTAAACTTACTTAATTTTACCTACTCTCCAATCAGTGAGATTTTTTTTCCCTTTATAAGATGGAGGAGAAATCAGTATGGGTCAAATTTGGAATTATTTCTGAATTTGATCTTCAGGTTAGACTTACTAGGGAAGCTAGGTAGTTCTTAATACTGCTGTTTATGGTAGTGATTTATGGAGATTTTTCACCACTTAAAACTTCCAGTATGAAACTGCAATTTTTTTGTTTTATAGTCAAGTGCCACACTGGCTGATAAACAGGTTAACCTCTTCAATTTTTTTCTAACTTTCTGAAAACCTGTAACAGGCTAAAATTATCAAGTGTGCTTATGGTCTTGCTGTAAAAGGGAAAATAACTTTCTTGAAGAATGAAACAGAAAATGAATTTTGAATTTACTAATTTGCCTGCAGATAAGTTAGTTCAGGATAGTTTTTTCCATACTTATGCATGCTCCTCTTAAAACTGTGCAGAAATTTGTTTATTCAAAGCATACTTGAATATACAGTGGGACTTTCCTTTGAAATAATTGTTTTGGCATCTACCAATTCTGGTGCATTCCTGTAAAAAAGTATTTTGTTTCCCACTATTTTTCCTGTAACACTTTCACTAACAGGATTTAAATATTCTTCATTAAGTAAGACAGAAGCAATACTTTGTAACCATTTTTCATGCATCTAGGAAGTGAGTAATTATTTCCTTTTAATTTCCCCTTTTTAGATGAGGAAAATATTGGTAGAAAGTTAAATGTTTTAAAGCTCACATGTTTCTAGTTTGCGTAGTGTATGCAGCTGTTACTCTTTCTGGACAAATGACTTTTATGTCAAATGTATACTTAAGTTTTTGTCACTGTTAAACTGAAAAAATATTAGACTTGATCTAACATCTGTATTTTATATTAAATAATCACATAGTGATTAGTAATAGATGCTGCATAAGATGCCTTTTTTTATGGTCATCTACAGTAATGACGTTAAGACTGTATAGTTAACTCAAATTTCATGTTGCTGCAGTGACATTAAGGTTGCCACCAGCTGCATCATTTAGCAAAGGTATTTGAATATTCTTTGCCATAGACACTAAAATATACAGTACTGTGAGATTTCTTTCATGGTTTTTAAGAAAACTACTTTTAGTGTTGCATATTTTAATTTTAGAAGCTAAATCTTTAGTTCAGTACTAAAATGGACTTTTACTTTGCAGATAGTGAACACTGATCATTACTGTTATTAGTCCTCAAGGTGAAATGAGGTTAAAAACCTGCCAGTGATCTAATGTCATACATACCTAGATGTAGGTAACATTTTTACTAAGTTAGAGCAAAGTTAAGAAGGAAGCACCTTTTTTATTAATTGCACTTCAGCATTTTCTAGAATTAAAGTAGTTGAAGAGGAAACCCCCTAATCATAGCTATGGAGGACTTGACATGACAAAAAAAAAGCCCATCTAAAACAGAAAACAGTTGAACTGCTGAAAATGAGTCTGCACTAAGAGTCTGGATAATTTAATTTGATTTTTCCTGTCTAGGACCACAAGTACATGACTATTACAAAGACAGTATTACCATCATAATGCTAGAACATTGCAAAAGAATTCAAGATATAAAAGTTTCACTATGTGTACGTCTGATTTTTATGGCAAATTGTGCTGTGAGCAAATTATGTTGCTGTTAGACAGTTTTTAAAACACAGAAAAAAGATGTATTCAGTTCATTTGGAAGTATTCCAGATGTGCTTTTTGGGTCTGTTATCAGAGAATTGTCTGGTCCCTGCTCAGCTGATACTGAATATGTCATTAGTATGCAAGTGATACAGGAATATATCTGCTGTCTCTGATTCTGAACTACTTTAAATAGCCATTGTTGTTCTCTTCAGTTAACTAATTATAATGTATACTTTGAAGCAAATTCCAAATAAAAATGTGGATAGAAGGACATCTTAACAAGTATAACTAATGTAAAGCTGGCGTTGTTGCTTTCCCCCCAAGGTTTAATGCATGTGCACAATAAGCTTGTGGACCCACTGTACAGTATGAAAGAAAACTGAAAGAAGACTGAAGAGGAACTCCATGTGGGTCAGCAGCCACAGTTTTAGGTAGCAGATGAGTTCACTGCTATGCAATATGCTGAAAACTGTTTAAAATGGCAAATCCTAGGTACTGTATTTTTAAAAAGGTCCAATATCTGTACATTCACATTCCATCTGTTTGCTGTGTTGTGCATTTTGCTTTAACATTTGGAGCTCTGCTGTTGGCTGGTTCATCACTAAATGAAACACAACAAACTTGGGAGAGACTGCATGTTACGTAGATAGGGGAAAAGCAGAGCACTTGCTCTAGCACAGCTATGTATTGCATCTGCCTTATGTTAGAGATGATGACACTTCATTTCTCAGAATTCTTAATTTTTGGCTTGGTTAGTGTAACTACATTTTGCATTTGTGTCTCTAGGCAGAAAGGTTTTGGCCTTTGTTAATACTATGGACTTGTAATAGTTGTACAATTTCTACTATGAAATGTTCTGTTTACATATATCTAATGTACACTGAGCTTTTGCACTTGGTTGCCTTAAATTTGTCTTAAACAGTTTTTGGGCATCTCAAGACCTGCTGTATATTTCAGGCAAATGAAGATACAGAAACTGTGCCTAAAAATGCACCAAATTCTTCAAAGTTACAACTTGCTCCTTGGATAAAAACATTAAACTTCCAACAATAGCACTTTTTCCTCTCATGTACTTCAAATCACTTTAGGATTTTTGTATTTTTGGTAATCAAGCTTTATACAGAAGGAGAAATCTCAATGTTCCTTCCTGGAGGTACCTGGTCGATTATATAACTGATGTTACAATTAAATGCCTGAAAAGAGGTTAATTTACAGGACCTCTAATGTCTGCAAATGATCATTTAAAGCCAGCTGTTAATCACTTTTTCATTGTATCATTATAAGCATTGAGCTGTTACAAGGAATGTTATTTCCCACTTTGAATATAAGTAAAACTTAAATATAAATCTCTTAATTTCAAAATTTTTTCATTTCTAATATAAACTGTCATGAGTAAATACATTAGCATTTCAGGGAGTGATTAAGCACCAAAGGAGAAAGAAAAGAGTTTAATGATGAAGACTTTTTTTGGGAAAGCCCTTGTGTAAAATACTCACTGCAAGAAAGTGCAACTAAGCTTAACTTCAACAATTTAAGTTTTCACTTAAATGACAAGCATGTAGTCTTTATTACAAAATCACATTGTCTCCCCAGGGCTGTGGTAGTCTCATCTAGGCTCACCTTTCTCACAAATGGTCTTACAGGGTTCATTAAAATCTGGACTGTTCTCTGTTTCTGTGAAATTAGAAAAGCATGGAAGAATCTGTCTATAGCAAAGCAGGAAGCTAGGCCTAGTGTTCCAATTCTCAACGGTACATTGAACATCCATACATTTAAAACAGGTTTTCAGTTTAAGGCTCAGTTTATGCACATGTATTTTTGAAGAATAATGCAACAATGTGGGGAAAAAAAAGCTGAAAAGTGCCTTTCAGGAGAATGCTGTTGCAGGTATGTATGACAAAATGCAGTGTTAGGTTTGCCATTAGCCTTTACAGCTAAGCAAGTTTATACTTCTAAGTTAGCCTTGCACATCAAGGTTACCATTTTATTCTTTTTCACATTTTAAGGTATTTTGAAAGTCAAAAATTCAAATATTATGACTGAAATTTGTATGTTTTTTCTGTCTCAGGTGCCATATGAGGCTAAAACAGATTCTCAAGGCAGCTTTATCCATTGGTGTAACTCATTTAATTAGGTAACATATACTTGAGTGTCACTCAGCAAGGATATAATTTACTGTTTGGATAATCTCTAGCTTACCTTTATCTTCTGCCTTGTTCCTCAGTACAGAACCAGTGCCTTCTTAGAGGTCTAGTTCAAGGAGTGGGGAGGACCTTGTTTTAGCTTCTTTGCTCCTAGCATGTATCCCTGCATCTGTAGTTCCTTTAAGGCTAGCTTTTTACAGAGGAGGAATAATAAATATGTTAGAGAGCCTTTATCCATAGCATCCTTCCTTTCTTCAGGGTCAGTAACAGCAGCTTAGGTACCTTTATTTAGAGGTACAGATATCTTGTTCACATCCAGATGTTGTTGGTTTTTCAGTGCACCTGAAACAGCTTCAAATAAAAAAAAATCAAAAAACAACAAAACAAAACAAAAACCCAACCACAAACCTCAACGAAACAGAAGAAAAAAGCCCAAACAAACTATTAAAGTATCAGAATCTCTCCCCTTTCTCTGTACTTTGAACTAATACAGGTTGAAAAGGAACATGTCCTGAACATGTCCTGTTCAATTCCATCCCTCCAAAGATTTTCCCAATTCATCCTTGTACACAGGCTGAAATATAACAACTAGCTTATGATTAAAGTGTAGGTACAAGCCTAAATTTAAGGGCAGACTTTCCTGGTGATTGAGCACTTTAGTAGGTATGACTAGCATTTTGCTCTTTAAAATATATTTAATAACAAGAGATTAAGATCTGTGAAGAGTGAAACTAGTCCCTGAAGATCAAAAAAATTAATGCAGCTTAAAAGCTTTTGGAGATGGGTAAACAGTTGTAAATACAGTATATAGTCGGGTCATTAACTTATGTTTATAATTGCTTTGTGTACACTTCCAAAAGTAATACCTTATGTCACACACACTATGCAGCATTTAACTGGGGACTCACTGACAAAATTTAGTATGTAAACATAAATAAAACTTCATTAACTACACCAAGATATGCTAAAACCAAACCTTCATGATAAATAAATTCTTTAAGGCCTGAATTGGTCTTACTAGTGGAACAGTATAAGTCTTTTAATATATTAAAATTTGCCATTTCCGTGGAGATGAGCATAGCTGAGCTGAACTAGTGATAAGCTTACACACTTCAACTGGTTTCAAATAAATGGTGTGTTAAATTAAAAAAAAGTATTGATTTTTTTCATCTGATGTGGTTTCCCAGCATCACAATTTCCTGACAACAGCAACTGTAGAGAAAGTAAAACAGGGAAATAGCTTGATACCTTTGTTGCTGACAGTTCAAACTTTAAAAGAAAAAAACCAAACCAGCACAGCATTGTTTGTTATACATACCTTGAAATTATTTTTATAACCTTTTTGCCATACGGTTCCTCTCACATAGACTTGCAGTGCAAAAAAACCCCAAATTATGTTAATTTGTCAAAAATATAAAAGCAGTGAAATAACATAAAAACAATACAATGTGAACTTTTAATGCAGTTTAGTAACTTTAATTTCATAATAATCTACAAATGTATGTACATTTTTAAGTCCTTTCAATTCATCCTCCCACACATGCTGAATTCATACCATTTAAAGTCAAGTATGTTCCCTCTCACAGTGATAAATCACATATTAGCTCACTTTGATACTGTCTACAAAAAGTTGACATGATCTGGAAGATCAGATGTCACTGATCTCTATTTGTCAGTTTCTCTCTTTAGAACACGTATAAAGGCATCTCTTGGAACCTCAACATTTCCAATTTTTCTCATCAACCTCTTGCCTTCTGCTTGCCTCCTTAAAAGCTTCATTCTTCTTGTAATGTCTCCACCATACTGTGAAAAAAAATAAAAATTACTAAGCCTAAACTACAACTGCAGCTGCAGTATATTCCAGCAACACAAAACTCAAGGGTTTAAAAATAGTCAGAAAAACTGGTTATATTTTGACAAAAAGATTATTTTATACTCCAAATAGTTTGGCCTAAAGGCCACTAGTTAAAAACGACAAGGAACCAAATAAGCACTTAATTTGGACAACTGAGTGTTGAACTCAGTCACCTAAATATATACATTGCTGTATGCCTGGCTGACATATTAGATCCAAATCCCCTTGGAATACCAGCAGCATGCTAGCTCAGATACATTGAGGCATCTTGACTGGCATTAGGTGCTTACATCTAGGAAAATGAACTAAACCCTTGTACACTGTTGAACAGACACCATCCCACAGCTGTGCTTAGCAGAAGAATTCTATTGCAGTTGTGAGAAAGGGACACTTGTTTGATGTATTTTCCAGTATGTTCACTTCAGAGAGTTAAATCCAAGCTAAATAAGAGGCATCACAGTTTTCCAATAGCTTTGTTGAGTCTTGTCCAAAGTCAACTACTGCACAGTTACAGCTTTTATTACAGTATATTACTGCAAACCTGAGTAGAAAATTAACCACAATCTAGTCTCAAATGAAGCACATTTATATTTCCTTCTATAACCTGAAAACCAATTTAGGAGACACAAAGTTACCTATATGCCTGTGTGTACACAACACACATGCACACATTTACTGCGTGTCTGCAACTATGAGAAAATGATGAGATGGGAATGAACAGACATTCAAAAATATGTGACTGAAAAAGCCATTACTTTATCTGATCCACTCTTCAAGCTGCAGCAAGAGATTACAAGAGTTGGATTTTAAAATAAAAGCTTAAAAGTATCTTCAAATTCCAAAGACACTTAGGAGCACAAGCAGAATATGTCTTTGCTGGGTTTCTGGGAAGAGATCTATCTTACTATCATCTTAGTAAGGCTCTTAAGGTTTACAGATTTCAGAATCATGAAGAAGAGAGAGAGAAAAAATACCTACACATTTTGCCACAACATTTTTTCTGTAAGCTTTAAGCCTGAAAAATAAAGTAACACATGCACTTTAACATATCAGAACGTATGTATGTGAAGCTAAGTACTTGAGTTGTTAAAATGTTACTTGTTTTTCCACTAGCTTTGTAAGATGCTTTGGCATCATAACATTTTCAGGTTTTGTATACAAAAGATGAAATTTTAAACAGAATATGTAATTCACAGTTTTCAATTCTAGAAACATCCCTTATGTGCATAATATGTACATAAAGAAATCACAATCTTGCCTTTTTATCTGGACTTTCTGTTACGACTCACAAGAAGTGTTACATCTGTGTGTATATACATATATAAACAAATTCTTACAGCACCTCTGCCTGAATTCTGACCTTTAAGTATTTTACCATAATTTAAATCCTATTTAAACAGCAAAAATGTGATGAGAAACACAACATCAAGGAAATGGTTTGCTTTAAAGAAGCATGTGCTAGGAAAATGTTTTTGTGTTCAGCTGCAACACATTTCCTTTGGAACAGCACAAATCAGTCATTTTTTTGCTGACTCTAACAGCAAAGTATTCCACAAGTAGCTATTTTTTTCAATAGTAAGAAACTTCTTCCACTGCCAAAGACGAAGTGGACACATGGGTCTTGCAAATTACACTTTATCCACTAAATGCAATTCTGACCACAAGGAATCTAAAATAAAAATACAATTTCTTTGTGTAAATTTAATTCAAAATCTTTAGTCAATAGTCACTGCTCGAATGTGGTTTTTTTTTTCTTCAAGTAGCATACACAAGAAAAATACAACTTTATAGCAAAATCAAAGTCCTGTAATGTATAAAACTAGGTAAGACTTTACAAGTCTGTATTTTACATATCTTAAAATATGGACAGAAAAAAAGGGGAATAGAAGGGCTTCACTTACGTTTCTCTTGCAATGATTTTCTTGCCAATGGCAGCCTGGATGGCTATGTCAAACAACTGTCTAGGAACCGTCTCTTTTAAACGTTCACACAGGAGTTTACCAGCAGCATGGGCTTTATCACTGAAAAAAAAAGGTCAGCAACACTAAAAATATATCCATAAATCAAACTCTTTGAAGGATTTTAGTAGAGGTTTTCCTCTTCTTAACGCAGAAGATAAGCTGATCAGATCAAATTTTGCATCTAATAAGTGGTGTCTGTATGTTACCTGTTTAATACAAACAGGTAATAAAACTGTATTAACCTCAATATATAACATCATATCAACTATTTATAAAAAACACCCTAATAATCCATCACACTGAAGACGTTTTAAATACTGCCACAGCTTAAAGTGAGATTTTAAACTAGGTCAAGGAGAATTTTCATTGATCTAGGCCCAAGTAAT